ATACATACATACATACACACACATATATATATATATATATATATACACACCTTGCTACGTGTACTGCGTTAGGCTAACCGAGACTTGTCATTTGCACTTATATATTGTTGCTCTTTTGTTAGTTTTGACTGCTTTTATTGTCCTCATTTGTAAGTCGCTTTGGATAAAAGCCTCTGCTAAATGTAATGTAAATGTACTCGTAAAACGTACTAGTAATCCTTGTGTTATATACAACTTCAAAAAAACCATCATTTTCGCAGTGTGATAATCTGAACAGCCCGACCTTCATTTCCCTCTGATTATCAGTGTATGTTTTGGATTTTGTGTTAAACACGTCATCATTTGAACATTCAATCATGATTATCTCTTTGTGTAAAAATAATATCGAGTCTCTCAGGAGACGTTTTATCTACATACTCCACGTTTGTCCTGGAAAATAACTCACGAGGTACGTGCAGTTTCTCCAGACTCATTCTTCTCCTCTACGTCTCCACATCAGCACTCATTACACTGTGTCTAGATCTCAGTATAAATATTTCTCATCAAGTTCTCTTTTTTTTTTTGACTTATTGTTCTTTTTTTCTCTTATTTTATTTTATTTGAACAACATTTGAGACAAGTTTGTTTTAAAGGTTTATTTAAGTGTAACATCTTTTGATTATTAGTATTTGGTATTAATGGCTTTATACTCAAAAATGAACATTGTATGGCAGAATTACAAAATAATTCCAATATTCCATAATTCCAAAAATATTACGCAATGTGCATTAAAACACATTTTAAAAACATTCATTTATTTGTTTATCATTGCATTGCTTTGCAGTAGGGAGAAAACCTGCTAAATTTGTATGAAATTCCCAAAAACAAGCTTGATTTTTTTTAATGCTATTTTATTTTATTTGTATTATTTATTTTTTAATTTTTGCAAATAATTGTAATTACAAAAAAGTCCAATCTTCAAAAAAAAAAAAAAAAAATTTATGAAAACAATCATGCATATTGCAGTAATGAATATTTATTTAATTATTTATAAATTTTTGTTTTGTATTATTGTATTGCAGCAGGGAAGGTTTGAGGGGAAAACATGCTAAATTGAATTTATTTATTTATTTTTTTAAGAAATTGTCCCAAAAATAAGCTCAATTTTTAATACGTTTAAATTTTTGATTTGATTTGTTTGTTGAAGAAGAAGCTTCTGAAACAAGGTTGGTACTTCATTGAAACCTCTCCTGAACCACGAACGAGCAACATCTGCTCAATAACATTGTTTCTCAAGTGATTTTCCTCCTCTTTTAACCTAACAATTCTTTCTCTTTTTTTTCCCCCACCGTTGTTCTCATGTCGTTTTCTCTTTCATAGCTCCAGTCTGGAACCCGATAAGCGGCATGAACAGAAAGAGGAACGAGTGAGGAAACCACTTCGCTCTTTCTGGAGACCCTGAGCTACGGTCACAGTGTTATATGAACCTTGTGATATAGGCTTCAGTGTCCTTTATGTGCGCTTCTCGCGGGAAGGCCCCAGAACAGAGGAGCATTGTGGGACAGGAGGCCGTCAGGGCAGACGTAAGTGCAAAGGACACAGACACAAGAGATTTGTGCGTCTCAGGTTGAGTTTGTGAGGCGCTGGGAGAGTTTGGTCCAGTTGAGCGGAGCTGTATAGATGCAGACAGAGGAGGGGCCGTTCCAGCGGTTTATGGTGGGATATTGCTTTCCTAATTCATCTAAAACCAGTGGCCTCCCACGAAGACTTTTACACCACCATTGTGGCTCCTAATGCGTTAATTTAGCGAGCTGAAGAAAGTGGCAGAATGTTTGTGCTTCACTGTGGTCCTTACAATGAAATTAATGTAGCAGCTTCTAATCTGCAGCGATTTTTAGTGACGTTTAGTTTGAATTAAGATCTCATAAAACCTGTCAAGAATATGTCCGAGTCGTGTTTACCTACAAAATCTAAAGGAAAAAAAGATATAAAGATGAAATCAAGGTTGGTTTTGGGAGCATTACATTTTTTTTTCTTAACAAAAAAATTCTGTACAAAAAATACAATTCTTAACACATTCTTATTTATTGCAGAAAAAAATAATTGATTATATTTATTAAATATAATAGTATTTGTTGTACTGGCTTTGTTAATAAAACAATAATAATAAAAGAATGTATGCCAGTAATTTAATGTAATTTTTATATGTTTTTTATTGTTTGTTTATTTTTACTTATTTTGCATTCATACATAATTGGAACAAAAAAAATCTGTGCATATTGTAGTAATAAAATTGTGACTATTTAAAAAAAATGTAATAAAAAAATTGTTCTTTTTCTTTGTATCATTTTGCATTGCATTGATAATTATTTGATGGGAAAATGTACACAAAATAATGTCAGAATGCATTAAGAAAACATAATGGTCCCAAAAATAAGTGTGTTTGTGTGTTTTTATTTATCTATTATTTTTTTTAATTTAATTTATTTATTAAACATGATAGTATTTGTTTTACTGGCTTTATGCAGATCAAAAATAATTGGAAATTACATAAATAATTGGAATTACAAACTAAACTAAAACAATGAAATTCTGTGCATTTTATAGTGATAAAATGTGAAATGTATTGTATTTCTTCTTATTATTATTATGCATTGCAGTAATAAGAATTTGAGACAAAAATGTGTGCATGAATGTCTCAATGAACAAAAGCTTAATGGCCTTTAAAAAAAAAAGCAAAATAGTCTTTTATTTTAATTAAATGTATTTTTGTTATTATTATTTAATTAATTAATTTTATTTTTAATTTATTAATATTCATTTTAGTTTGATTTTAATTAGTTTATTTTATTTTCATGTTCTTGTAAGATTCACCATTTTAGGGCAAAGTCAACTCTTTAAAAATGAGGTTACACAGAAATACCATGTTATGAATAACGAGACGAGGAAGGTTAATGATCTGCAGGTCGGGCGTCTGGTTGATGATCTTCTGAACTCACTGCACATCTTGACCTGTACTTGTACGAGTTTACAAGGTTACTTGAGTTAGCGCTTATCGACAGTTAAGCGAAAACCTTCTCTTGGTGTAGTTTTTCGCCAGAACGACCTGCAAAGTGATCCATATTTTACGCTGAAAATCGAAAGTATGGATCTGCAGGCTTATGCTTTATTAACGTGATTCTGTCAGAATTATTTAAGGATCTGGTTTGAGATGAAGGAAAGTCAGTATTTTGGCAGAGGGTGGTTTGCATTACCAGTGTGTTTTGCCTTTAAAAGCAGAACAACCAAACGCTCATGTTCTCGTTTCTAACGCAGGATTTACATGTTGGCTGGTGGACGAGGAATGTTGGCGAGAGCCGAGAAAACCAGTTTTGCACATCGACCCACAACAATGACATTGGATTAAAAATGGCATTTGCAGAATCCGAGGTGTGTTGAAACCACGCGAGCTGCCAAGCTTCTGAATTAATGATGTACTTCATTACTAAAATATATTTGTTATTCTAACTGAATGCTTGTACATTCACTATATTACATGTTGATGGAAATAACGTGTTTTGAATGCCATTTACACTTTCAGGATAAACACTTTTTTACGCTTCCACTCGTTACTTCACTTTTGCCGGCAGTGAAATCCATCCAAGTGTAAAATGCGATGATCGTTTGTCTTTGTTAAAGTCTCATTCTTCACTCAACGCAGTCTTTGACGGCATTTTATCATGAAACTTGACTCTAATGGACGTTCAACAGCTTGCTGATGAATTTCAGTGCTGAAGTTCAGTCATTTCAAGCAACAGGCTTCATTATAGTAGATTCAGCATTGAGAAACATTTGGCTTATTGTGTTGTCATTTGATTTCTTGATGTTGTGACTGTTTTTCATTTAGGGTCTTGAATGTGCATACAGAGTTTCGACACACAGATGTGTTTTGGAAAGGCTGTACAGATTTTGATTACATCGATGATGTTATTGACCCTCATTGGTTTCCATGCAATTTCGTGAGAAATCAACACTTTGAAAAAAATCAGACATTTTTACTGTAGCTTGTCAAAAACTAAATATTGAAGATAAGAGAACTTGTGAAATTTATTAAAGGCCGTCTTCTGAATCGTCCAGGGAGAATTCGCTTTTTCTTCATCGGTTTGAGTTTCACATGCAGTAAAAAAAAAATATCTGTGAAATTTGTTTTTTTTGTTCGCTTTTTGCATCTCAGATGCTTCAGCACTGAAAATAAGTGTGATAAACCCATTTAACCAATTTAGCAAAATAAAGACAAAAGCTATTTACACCAAATACAAATAGCAATAAATTTAGTAAACTTTAAATTTAGTAAACAGTAAACTTTTTGCACTAAGTATAAATGATGTGAGATACTAAGGTGTAGTTATTTCCACCTCTTTCCACCTTATTTTAGTATTATTGAGATACTATTAAAGTTTTTATGATTTGAATAAAATAAAATCAGTAAAATAAAATTATTTAATAAAATAAAATCAGTGTTTTTTACATTTTTCATTTTAAAGTTTTACAAATTTTGTTGTTTTTGTCATTTAGTAGTATTTTTATATATAGATTTCTATATATATTTATTTCAGTTTTAGTTTAACTAAATTTAAAGTTTATTTTAAATTTAAAAAATTGTGTTACTTAAATGTTAACTGAAAATGCAAAAAAACTTTGTGCTAATTTTTTTTATATACTTTACATTTTTATATTATTTTATTTAAATTTTCTGACAAGCTACCATAGATGTTTTTTTTTTCTCTCTCTCTGTTTTTATTTATTTATTTTTAATATTGTCAATTTTTAGCAGATTGCATGGAAACCAATTAGGTTCAACATAAAACACAAAAGATGTCCCACATTTTTTCAACTAAAATATTTTTTACTTATTAAATGTAAAAACTTTGAAGTGTGTTTTTGGATAGTTTTATTTAATTTAGTAATATTTTGGCGCAGTAAAGGTGAAGTGTGTTATGTATGTGCAACTAATCACCAAACTGAATTATTTTTCAGATAAACCACAGCATTGCTTGAGCCAGAGTTGCTTTGTCAGGCTGGTCAGACGTTCTCATCAAACGAAAAGTAAAGATTAAAGTGTTTTAACATCAAACACATCACACACTTCACCTCAGTACTTCCTCAGTACTTTTTTCATATTTATTAGAGGAAAGTCCTTGCGTGGCTCTCGAGGTCACTGTAGAATAACATTTTCTGTCCTTGAAATGCAGTCGCTCATTAACTGCTTTTGTATGGAGATAAACGAGCGGCGTGACTCTGTTCCAGGGTCAGATACAGATGAAGGATGAGGACGGCCTGTGATGTGTAAATTAAGCTGTAAATGAAGGCTTGTTCACTTAAGATAAACATGTTTGTAGTGTATGGAAGGCCGATGGGGCCAAAAGTCACAGAATGTGTGAAATTTGACCATGTCAACACGCACTGTTCTTTAGTATGTGTAAAGACGCACAGTTTTACCATGTTAAGATGATGAATTTGAACATGTTTCTCAACGTGCACACTTTATGGATGTGTTTGAATGTGTAATGTGTTATAATATAATAATAAAGTAGATTTACCTCTACATTTACCTACATATTAATCCTTTCTTTAGTTCACTAAGGCATTACTTTATCTCCCATATCTACTGTTCTAGAGTAAATTAATTAATGTTACAATGTAAAAATAAGACTTTTCTGCCTGAGATTGAACGTTGAACTAAACGACTAAAAAAAGAAATGACGAATAATGACATAAGACTGACATCACACACAATATACCGATGCATCATCCCTCATGAACAGTTATAACACCTGATGTTTGCATATACCAGTGTACCATTACATGTGTTTTTACCCTAACGCGGACAAACAGTGCATGTTGACACTGTCAAATTTCACACGTTCTGTTTAAAGACTTTTGGCCCTGTCTGCCTGTCATAGTAGTGAGAAGTCTGCGGCCGCCTTGATGCTCCATGCATCTTTACGTGTGTCTGACACACATGTGCTCGTGTGCACGTTCATGCATGAAGCTTATTCAGCCAAAGAAGGGGGTGATTTGTCAAACTTGAAGGAAGAGGCATTAAATGTTGATACCATGCCAGAACATCATGTATACTTTGCAGTTTTTGTTGCATTTCTGTTTCAATTCAGTCTGTTTCAATGGGAAAATTGTTCTGCAGAAGAACGCTGGGAATGAGGAAGTTGCATAGAAGCTTTTAATAATATTAAAGACATTTGCAGGCATCGCTATTACTATTGCTTAATGTTTTTGATCTGTGATCACCTCTAACACTCAAGTAATAACCCTCTGTTGCTGCTTGTTCAATAATGTTTTTTACTTGATATATTTTTAGGGGATTTTAGGGTACTAAATTGTATTTATGGAATAGTTATGATCCATTTATTACCTGTTAACCATTTTATGAGCATAGAAAATGACCTGAAAATGACATTTCCAACTTAAACTATCATAAATCTTGAATGCTTTGGAGCACAGACTTAAGTTTGTTTGTTTTGTGAAATTAAAAAAGTAAAAATGTGTATATATATATATATTTAAAAATGCTATTTGTAAATTTTATATGAAATGTATATTTTCCAAAACAAGTTCCGAATTTGAGGTTGATATAAAAAAAAAAAAAGAGCAAGATTTGTAAGATTTTTTTTGGGTGCAATACCAAATGTTTCCACTAGATACAATTAGCTTCCCATTTGTTTCCGATGCAGTTATTGTTGACCTATACAGTACAAGTGTGACTATTTTTTTCAGCACCATTTAACCTTTTCGGATAATGTTCATGATTTTTGTGTTCTCGTAACAAGTGCCAAAACCTTTAAAAGTTTTGTGCCATTCCAATTTAAAAAAACAAACAGAATTGTTCTGTCAAAAATGACTGAACAGCACCAGAGGGTTAAAGTCAAGTGCATAGTCTTTCAGCATTGGAATAATTTATGTGTTCATTCATGCATTTAGCAGACACTAAACAAAAGCAATTCATCAAAGAGCCAACAATATTTATAACTTATATAATTTGATTAAAATATAATAAAATATAAACTTATATTTTTATTAAATAACTAGATTACGAATCCTCAGTGCATGTGACTTGTTGGCATCGTTTGCATGTGCAAACATTAAATATTCTTAGGAACATGTACAAACCTGTTTGTTTTGCTCTTTCCATAGGCTGCTCTTGTTGTTTGTGAGCAGTCATTCCAGTCATGCATCGTGGTTTGTTTGCGTGTCAGTTTGAAGTGAATCTCCGGCAGTTAGACGGAGGGTTAGACTTCAAATGGGACAGACAGAGGAAAGATCGTCAGAAACTCCTTGATGCTTGACTCCTCTGATTTGTAGATGTACACGAGGATGTCAGTTTAGTTGGAGAAAAAAAATCTTTAAATTTCAAAGTAGATTGTGTGCATTTTTGCAAAGGTTAAAAAAGTGACTTTGTAACTTCTGTTTTGATGGCTGTTCAGATGTGAGTTGTATGAAAGCCATCTCTGCCACAGAATAAAATAATGAAAAAGGTAATTGCAACATTTTATCTCGCAAATAATTCAGGTTTTTTCTTGCAATTCTGACTTTTTCCCTTAAATCTGTGAGAAAAAAGTCTGAATTGTATCTGCATTTTGACTTTTCTTGCAAACTCATTGGCTGAAAGAAAACTTAAACCATTAAAGAAAAAACATTTTTGTTGAGATAAACGTTACTGAAGTAAAATAAAATATATAAGTTTATTTGAAGAGTTTGGTTCCAAAACGCGATAAACGCCATTTAAAAAAAAAATTAATTTCCGCCAAAATCAATATTGTATCTGGTCGGTATTGAAATGTCAATTTTTAATTTTACGCAAAATGCGATATCCGCCGAGTTATTCTGTCATGTTTTCTCCCTATCTTTCCAAACCGCGACAAACGCCAGTCTCCCTTCTTTGCAGAATGCGATATATCCGCTCAACCAATCACAGCGCACCATTCCACGCACTGTAAACAGTAACTGACAAGCTACACCGATAAATCGCCTTCGGTTATGAACGCGATGTTGCGTAGCTTGTCAGTGAACTACGGCTCTGTGTATTAAATGCCGGTCCATCTGAAAGCACGTGATGGAGTTTACTATTAATCACAGAACCGGCTTTACTGACGAGATGCGCATGACAATGACATGCGATTTATCGTGCAGCCCTAAAAAAATGAATAATTTTGACGGCATTGATGAACCTGTGGTGGTTTCTGCGGTGGGGAAGAAACGTAAGCTATTAATAAGATTAGTATTGACCAAGTTCAGAGCCTGTAATATGTTGATCAACTTTGTTTTGTATTTTCAAGTTTCAATATGAAAAATAACTTTTATATTGATTCAATTATGTGAAAGGAAAATAGTGGTTTTCATCTCACAACTTTCTTGGTAAAGAAAACACATTTTTACTCAAATTACTCAAATTA